TGACTTTTTGGTAAAACCCATAAGGAAGAATGAGTTGAAGAACCTCTGGCAGCACGTCTGGAGACGATGTCACAGTGTGAGTTGATATTTTTTCTGAGGCTTACTAGCTTTCATGCACTTTATGTTTTCCTGATAACTCATCTAATGGTCTTAAACATATGAGTTTTATATTTTTTCTTGCCAGCAAGCTTTTTTGATATACATAGAGATTTGGTAAATCAATAGCACAAGTTTATATTATCCTCAACCCCCACCTTTTCAATTTAACACTTTTCCCTTTTTTTTTCATTGAAGCTGTTTCAATTTTTTTGTCTTGGATTGTTGTTTCTACTTCTCTTAGTCTAGTGGAAGTGGGAGCGAAAGTGGTGCACAAACTCAAAAATCTGTTCATACAAAAAGTAGTGAAAAGTCGGACAACAGTGGCAGCAATGATGGAGAAAATGATGGGAGCCATGGATTAACTCACGGTGATGGAAGTGATGATGCAAGTGGCACACAGGTATTGGAATTTGTTCATTTTTTTTAATTAAACAACAGGTTGTTTTACTAAAAGAAATTTTTAGCTCATCTGTTTCTGGCGATCAAGTTTTCTGGTTAAATCTTCTGATTGTTTTCTTGATTGGTAAGGTCAGCTCATCAAGTGGGAAAAAAGACTTCTTGTAATGGAACAAATTTGCTTACATGTATACACTCTCTCTGCCTCTGTCTTTGATCAATCATCATAAAATTGGTGTGCATAATAGTGATGAAGTTTATTAGCTAAATCCTGATGGAGAATCACTAAATTTCCAATTTATTGTCTTCTTACTTGTATCCGGTGCACAGAGAACTTCTCGATCAGACGATGAAATATATATCTGTTGTTCTGAAACAGAGTAGTGTTGGTTCAAATGTATTGTGAGAAACTAAAAAGTTATCCTATAAGCACAACATTCATCACATCATTGTCTATGGCATGTGCTAAGTGGTTGTGGATTGCATCTTTCCATTCAATTCCATGAATGATAGAAATGGGTCTGTTATTCGACAAGGAACTTCGTATACCATGAGAAAGTCGTTGATGCCATTTCTTGAGTTGTAAGACAATGAAATACTTGTTTTTCTCTTTATATCCTGTGTCCTTAAAAGCTCCACTGTATAGTTAATATTGATCTCTTGAGCATAACATTCATTGATTTTGACTGCATTATCTTTGGTGAGATGTAGAGGTCATGTTTTTCCTTTTTGATACGAACAATGGATTTAAGCTAATTATTCATCATGCAGATGTGAGTTAAGTGTTTCCTTTCTGAAGACTACAACTTTTTGTGGATACTGTCTCATGTCAAATGACAATGGAGTTATTTAATTTGATAAGTGGTCATAGGCACACATGTACGATTTATCTATAAATATGTACAATTATGCTATTGAGCAACTACGCTTATTCTTTGTTTCCTCAATCCCAAGGGAAGTTGTACTATCCACAACAGTCTGGCAAGTAAAAAGTAGAAAAAGAGGCCATGAATTTCAGAACAAAAGGTCTACCAATGTGTACTTGCTTAACAATTGGTTAGCCAAAAACGGTCAGTGTCTCCTTATAAAGCTGTATCTCAAAAATGTGGTGGCGCATATGATATTGCAGTTCCAGTAGCATGTATACATAGAATATTATTGTACTATAGTGTTGCTTGCATGCTTAATCTGTGGCCTTAATTAAGACATAAGTAGTAACTTTTCTGTGCAGAATGAAAATGCTTGAGTGCTTGAGTCAAATTTATTTTAAACTCCTTCCTTGCAGAGTTCTTGGACAAAACAGCCTATAGAAGATGACAGCTCTCAAGCAGCTTCTCCAATTTGTCATGTAGCTGAGTGTCCATCCAGTCTCCATGCCCATGTTAATCGACCAATTGCTGAAAGTTCCAGTAACAAGAGGGTGCATATAACTGCAAAAATGGAGGACCAAGAGGAAGAAAAGTCTGGTAATGAATTTTTGTATTTTCTTTTGCAAATTGATTTCTTTCCTTCCCTAGCCTAATAACAGCCTTCATGTCTACCTCTTTCAAATTATGAACAGTATACAAGGACCCTTTCCCAGGCACGCCTAATAATTTGGAAACAGAACCTGAAAATCCAATTGATATCGTTCCACAGATCAGAAATGCAAAACAGCATATTCTGCTGGAAATTCCGTCAATATATAGTAGTGCTAGGATAAACAGAGGACAGGCAAATCCCACTGATAAATTGAGGTCCAACATGCACAGTGTGGTCAACATTGAAATTTCTCATCCTCAGCTGAGAGACAGAGAACTTGAGCCTCCTACAGAATTTGCAAACAAACTGGAAGTCAACGGCTCAGATGATGGTAAAGAGGCTGCCATAGAACTCAGTTTAAAGCAGCTCAGAGGCATTATAAATGCTGGAAACACTATTCAAGATAACCACAGTCCTTTGAAACATTCTGAGCTTTCAGCCTTCTCAAGGTTCGTTTGGAGAGTGGAAGGAATCAATTACTTTGAATAGTTCTGTGATTGAATGCAATGGAAGTGCAATGTGAATTTGAATTCCTGATTTTCATCTTTTTGTTGGTTGATGTAACTTTGCAGATATAATACATCATCAAGCACCGTTAGGGCCCCTATTGGAATTACAGGAAGCAGTTATGTGATTGATAATAGCCAAGAAGTTGCAAAGAGGGACACAGTATGTGAGCATTCAAATGGCAATCTTATCTGCCCTAGTTCAAAAGTAGTGAGCAGTAACATAGACATGGGCTCTACAACGAATAAATTTGCTCTGAACCCGCTATTTTTTACTTCAGAAGCAACATCAGCAATTAACATTTTGCACCGTACGTCTGCTTTTACAATTGTTAAAACTGACCAGGTAAATGCTCCACAACCAACCAACCAACTTAAAGCCACCGACATGCATGCCTCATCGATGCTGTCTCCAGCAAGAGCCATGCAGCACCATCCTCATCACCACCACTACTACCATCACCACCATCACCATCATTTCCACAAATCCCTGGAATTGTCCAATCATGATCAAGAATCGGTGAAAAAATTAACTGTGGATACTCAACATTGTGGTTCGTCAAATGTTTTAGGTGCACCTGGTGATGGAGACCCTGCAAATCTTCGTTTAAACAGAAGCACCTCAGGAAGTAATTACGGAAGCAATGCACAGAATAGCGCTGCCATGAATGCTGAGCCGACTAATGGAGAAAGTGATATGGATTTAGGTGGGACAAATGGAATTAGAGATGCTAATGGAAGTGGTTGTGAAAACAGGGTTGAAAACAAATTAGTACCGAGAGAAGCAGCCCTGTTGAAGTTCCGGCAGAAGAGGAAGGAGAGATGCTTCAAGAAAAAGGTAGAAATTATGATCCTAATAGCCTTGAGTAGTCAATTTTTTGGGAGTCAATTGAGATCCATAATTTGCCTTTTGTGATAGCAAAATCTGTCTCTGCAATGGACCTGTTTTCAGTTTCTTCAAATCAGCTTCTTGTAGCTTTTGTAAGCCAAAAATTGTTGAGGTTTTTCATTTTTCTTTGGACTTCTAGTTTTGGTTTGTTTTGAATTGAAAAAAAAAAGGCGTTATATGAGACGGCCTTGAGAGTATTTCTCGGAAACAGCTTTTCCAAACTTTTAAGATGAGTATATGTCTCAATAATTTGAAAAGCTTTTTCAGAATCACTTTGCTGTAATCAGCTAGGAAAAAGCATTATCGATCAAGACCCTCTGTTAAGCAGCAAACTTTTGTGATTGATTTTGGTCTTTAGTAGAGTCTAGCGAGGTTTTGTGATAAGAATTCGATCATAACAGCAGTTGTAGATGGGGTTTTAATGATAAGATTTGCACTATGATAATATTTGTGGCATGAATGGTTTCAGGCAGAAAGTGCCAAAGACTAATTTGTGGAGTTGATGAAGTGCACAAGATCAGTAATTTGACAGTTTTTTGGTGGCCCACAGTTACTCACCGAAGGTGTCTAGTGGAGAATAGGGAACAGGACAAATTTGTTTCATTTTGAGTATGATAGGCATGAGATCTAGGTTAGAATTTCATAATCATAGCAAGGATAGAACAATTGCTAGAGTGCTGGGTTTCTGTGTCATATGCTGTCCAGATTGGTTTTCTTAGTGATGAAATTTTCTTGCTTCTAGTGTTGGAAGGTTATTATGATTGCCATAATAAAATGTAATAACACGAACACTAATTTTGTCCTAATTTGTGGAGTTGATGAAGTACTCAAGCTCAGTAATTTGATGTTTTTTTGGTGGCCTATGGTTACTGGATAAGGTATCTAATGGAGAATATGGAACAGGACAAATTTGTTCCATTTAGAGTACGATAGGCATGAGATCTAGCTTAGAGTTTCATAGTCATATCAAGGAATGAACAATTGCTAGAGTGATGGGTTTTCCATGTCATATTTTGTCCAGATTGGTTTACTTAGTGATAAAATTTTCTTGCTTCTAGTGTTGGAAGGCTACTATGATTCCATGGTCAAATGTAATGACACGGATATTAATTTGTCCTTCCATTCTTTCTTCACCAGGTTCGTTATCAGAATAGGAAGAGACTAGCGGAACAGAGGCCTCGTGTTCAAGGGCAGTTTGTAAGACAAACAGACCATAACAACTCAAATGAGTGACTGACTTAATTCTGATGACTCACTAGTCTTCTGCATGCATGCAAAAGCTGGTCATTTTAGGGTAAGATACTTTATTAGTTTGGAGCTCAAGCAATTTGAACTTTTGTTAGCTTGATCTGTATCTATGCTAATAGCAATTATAGAACATTGTCTCTTTCTGGAATAGTCTTTTCTTCCTGAAAGATACTTGAGTTGCTTGTGTTGTATAAACGTGCTTTATTGTAACGGAGATCATATTTGTACATCAAGGTATTTATACTCTGCCTTTTGAATTGTATTTTTTTTTTTTTTTTTTTTACATTTTCTACTTAGTTTGGGTATACTCTCTTAATTCTTATGTGGAGAAACCTCTAGTAGTGCCTTACCAAACCATAATTTTTCAATAAAAAACCAGAGATATTGATCCTTAATACATGAAAAAGTTCCCCATAGATTTATATCACATAAAATGGCTCAGCTGTGGATTCGCCCCAATTGGAAACATAGCCAGTTAGATACCAACTAGTTCAATTGTGAAGCGTATAGTGGTTGATATGATTAGTAACCTGTTTGTAACATGACAGTGTTTGCATAAGCAAACATTATGAGCATGAATCTCTCTAGTCATATGATCATGACAAGTTTCCAAGATTGAGGAATAGGCGTAGTAATCCTATAATGACCTAAACCTACCTGTTACCTCTTAAGTTTTGTGAGAATTCGGGACTGAATGGACCAACTTTCTTACTGGCTTTGCACCTTAAGTGCCACAATGCATGATTACATCTTTTGTGCGAATTCCGGAGATAGAGCCCCTAACATTTTTTATCATCTGATATGTTGGAATATACTCGATGTGTTGGGAAGAACTGCGTCTCTCTACACCTCAATCTTGGTTAGGACTGTAAATGGAGCTCTTAGTTGGACTGCGATTGACAACAGGCTTCCTGCCTTCCTGAAAAAATTTCAAGGACAATAATTGCATTACAGATGCTGCAGACACAACGTAAAGGCCTGAGATTTCAAGAGATGGCAAGTATCCGCTTTTCAGGGATGACTATATCTTTTATTTAGGGGATAAAGTTCACATTAGAATGAAAGAATGATTTACATTAAAATGGTCTCTAGATGTCTGTAAGTTACAGCGTCTGGAATCTTGATTTTTTCTTCATTTCTATAGGTTGTGCATGCTGATCTTGAAATTCTGTAAGGACGTCCGTTACCTGGGAAATGCTAATTTCTAAGTCCATCGTGCGTGTTCGAGCGTCCTTGCTTTATGGGTTTTGCGGCATGCCTTTAATTGCAAAAACTCATTATTAACTCGATAACTCTCCAGAACAGATAAAGACTGATATCTCCAATCCATGCACCTTTTTCTCTTCTTTTGATGTTTTCCTTTCATTTTGTTCAGTAGAAAGTACCGATATATAGGCCCCTGTCTAGCAAATACGCTTTATCCTCACGTATTGGTATTTTCTGAAAGGAAGATAGGAAAATTATACACGCTACGACTTTGAAATTCACAAACTATCGTCAAAGATGAATACAATCTCAAGCATACTGCTATCACGCCAATCTTTAATTCTTTGGGGAAGTTATATTTACATTCCTGTGGAAGTAGAGTAGTGGGTTTTTTTTATATTTTTTTTACGATAATAATAATATTTTTATAATTTAATCTATCCTAATTTAGAGAAATGGAGAGCCTAAAAAAAAAAGAGATTAATAAGTATAAGAATCTGATATTAATAGTGTGCTTGCTGCTCTATTTCTACAAAGAAGAAGTGACGAATGTTAGCTGATTTGGTAGAATGGAAATAATTGTCCGTATGGACCTTGTCTTATCGTATTGCAAATCCTTCCATTTGACGTGAGTGGAAGAAAAGCAGAAACAAAACCTGGCCCAAAGTAATGGTTAAAGGATACGTCGTGAGTGAAAATTTTTGTCTACCGGTCATGTGGTCACGTGTCGCCCCATAGCGCCCTTAAGTTTTTCCAACTAACGTTCCTCGAATCTTTGGTCTTCTTGTCTCAACTACTCTTCAATCTCTCTGCTGAGAGTTCATGCTTGCTTTGCTCATTTTCTATGAGGTAAATCAAAGTTTAAAAAATCTCTTTATATTAAAATTTAGGATAAATCTTTTATGCACTGACAGACAGTGTATACACTGACGGATCTACATGCATGTCACATATATAAAATTTGATAATCGACTTCAAATTTAAATGATATGACATTTATTCAATTCTGTAAGTGTATGCACTGACTGCCGATGTATAAAAGATTGATTCTAAAATTTATTGGGCTCTTCTTTATTTCCACAAAAATGTTTTGTGAGCAGACTGGGGAATTCTGATCAACTATCGTGTTTAGGGTCATGTTTTGATCGGATTGTGCGAATTTTTTTTCATCATTAAGAGGCGTAAGAAACCTTTGCAAGAATTAAGAATCAACATATTATTAACCAAACTAAACAGACAAATACGGAAAACTTTTCCAAAAGCGTTCACCAAAAGAAAGTGGCGAACCGTATCTGATTAAGTGTGAACATTTTCAGGAAAGAAAGAAAGGGATTGAAAATCTAGCTGCAGGGCAACTAGCTTTTTTGAAGTGAAAACAGAGAGGGGTGAAAAAATTTATGGTCCTTGTGGACGATGGCCTCTAGTTTGTATATGGACATATGGTATATTGAAATTGTATTTGTATATAAATATACGTCTAAACAATGAGAACGCAATTCTGTACCTCAAAAAAAAATCTTCCAAGGAAATAAAGGCTTTTTTTTTTATTTTTACGGAAAAGTAAAATGAAGGACTCTAAGCTCCCAATTGCCATACGCATACCTAAGTTTCATGCCATGCATATTCTGAATATCAAGTTTCAAGAATTTTGTTTTCTTTTTTTGATGAGGTGAATTAATGTAATCAGTTTCTATGCTCTAGTTGCGTAGTATACTAGTCCTAAACAGTCAAATTCTTGAGAGTCTGCTCTACTTTTTTTTTTTAACTAAATTTTGGTTGTTATATATAAAAAAATAAATAAAATTTTTTGGTCGCTGCTTAAAATTTAAAAAAAATTTTTTTTTGATCTTTGGATCTGTTATTTTAATTAGTCTAGGAGACATTATTTGAATAAAACCTTATTTGTAAACCGTGATTCTTTTTCCTACAATATTAATTAGAGCAATTATTTATACCCAATAAACATATGTAGATTTGAAAAAGAAAAATTCCAAGCTTTTGGCACATTCAAGCTGTGAGGTGCAGATTTGGATCTTGTGGGAAGAGTTACAGCAATCGTATACTTAATTATAGTATGACTCATCAAGACTTCCGGATTTTTTCAACACTGCTGATTCCTCACATTTCATTATTCGTACATGCATCAATCTACGGTTGCGTATGTTAGTATTTGCTTGAGTGTATAAATATTCTATCACCTGCATGCTTAAGCGGGGAATATGACATCCATAGTTGCAGATGACACGTGCCAGGACGATAAGAGTAATGCTTCCTCCCAAGCTACTCTAGCATATATACATATATGTATATGTATGTGTGTGTATATATATGACTGTACTAATATGTACGATTCCATCCAAGATTATATTCCGGTGGTCACTGTTATGTGAAGAAATTAAGGACGACTGAGCAAATAGTAAGGTCCACCAAGTACTACTGATGAAACTGTTTTCTTCCTTCCAGTTCGAGTCAAAACCAGAGTCCACTACTGTTGTGTTTAGGTTTTGGGTACGTATGGGACTAAGAATCATGATAAGAGGATTCCACAAATCCTATGGCGCCTGCTGGCACGTGATTTTGTTTTATTAACGTTCTGATAAATTACATTTTGCCTCTTGGTACTTTGTCACAAAACCTTTTATAGTTTTTTCCAGGAACCGTTCGTATAATAATTCCTTAAACACGCTTTCGCGTCAGTGATGTAAACTCCTCATAGTTTGGATTAAAGTGTCAATGTTAGTTTTTTCGTTAAACTAACGGTAAATAATAAAAAGTCAAAATTAAACTAATAAATTGACAACTATTTCACTATTTTCTTTTTCCTTCTCTCTCTCTCTCTCTCTCTCTCTCCATATATATATATGTGTGTGTGTGTGTGTGTGTGAAGAAAAGATATGATTTTGAAAACCTATACTTTGACATACAAAATATTAATTTTATCCAAATTCAAAAGAGTTGGAAGGAAAATAAAAAATAAATAAATAGAAAACAAAAAATATCAAATCCTTTTGACAACATATATCATTATAGTTTTTAAAATAAATCTTTTGTGGTATTTTCTATTTTTTATTTCAATTTCTTCTTTTTTATATTTGAAGGGAAAAAAAGGAAGCAATGAAAGGATAAATTTGTTAATTTAATAGTTTGATTTTGACTTCTTACTATTGACCGTTAGTTTTTAAATCAAATCAGGGTTGTATGACAAAATACCAAATTACAAGAAGATAAAAGGTAAGTTACCCTCAACGTTTTAACCCAGCCTAGTTATGGTTAATGTGTAACCTAGTTTTCCAACACACACACACACATTTTCATTCGACGTCAATTCATCCATCCATGCACACAGACTTAATTACCAGTCTTTCCATTTTTTTCAATGGTTTAGCTTGTCTTCTGCAATCTGCTCGTTCGGTGCCGCCCTCCGTCGTTTCAATTTGTGATAGGCAAATTAAGAGAGGGAGGATGCGAACTGGACAAACGTAGAATTTATGGCTGCCTGCTGGTGCAGACGTACTAGTATTTATTACCTTAGGCTAGGGACCAACATTAACGTGTACACGCTGCTGCTCGAACGTCGTATGAGTAGGTTTTTTTTTTTTTTTGGCTTTGTACGAGGAGGTTGACTTATCATATGCAAAGATTAAAAGGAAAAAAAAATAGATTCGAGAAATCCCCAATGAACAATTATTGCCCTGCCCCTTGTAAGTTGTGATGTCATTAGCACTAAGGGGGATTGGATATGTAATTATGTATGATTGGATTTGGTGTGGTAGCCTTTAATTGTTGTGTTTTTGGTCAAATTTTGATACTTCTTTCGTCTCATGGCGTGAAGATAAGTTTTTTTTTTTCACACAGATTAACAAATTTAATTAATATAGTTACAACAATTTAAAATCGAATCATATTTATTCGGTAAATTTATGTATACCAACAAAATTTATAGGGATAATATCAGAAACCTCTCCTTAGATTTCTCTTAATATCACCTGATACTCCTAAGGTTTCAAAAATATCACTTACCTCCCTTACTTTAGTTATTTGTGTAACAAAATTTTTAAAAACCCTAACCTACCCTTTCACTTACTAAATAAAAATGTTCCTAAGTCACTTTGTTCACTTCAAGAAAACCATCACTTCAAAAGCAATCTCTTGTAGTACTACTACATCACAATGTTATACCCCATAAAAATATAATTTTGAAAAATAAAAATGATATTTGAAAAGAAATACATTTGTATCAATTTAATTCGATATGCTCAAAATCGATTTCTTATGAATTTACATTTTTTCCACCATCTTCTTAACCCTTGCTCAAACCATTAAATTATACCAATTATTATAAAAATCAAATCAAAATAAGCAAATAAATAGTACCCCACTTTATCACAATCACAAAAAGTAAAAGATAAATAAAATTTAATTTATTATAATTTATAATATAATATTGCATATTCATCAAAAAATATATGAGTAAGAGAGAATGATGGAGAAAAGGGAAAAAGAAGAAAGTGACTTCCATTTCTTTTTTTTAAAAAAAAATTTTGAGCTTCATTTATTTAATATGTTGTAAATTATGTGTTAAGTGAGGGTTAATATATAGTCTTTTGACAATTATTAGGGGGGTAAGTGATATTTCTAAAACCTCAAGGGTGCTAAGTGATATTAATAGAAATCTCAAGGGAGGTTTCTGATATTATCCCAAATTTATATGTGTAACAAAGTCATACGACGGTACATCAAATCATGCATCATTTGTATTTATTTGCCCCTAGACCGAAGTACGTAGGTAAAATGGATATTTTGGCCGATAAAAGTCAAACGCTAGTAACAGAATGGCACAGTAACATAATAAATTTTTTTCAAGCTCTTTTGGGAGACTGAAAGAGAATAATAATATGGGACGTTGGGCTTGGGTTTACTGCACTTCCCTTTATAATTATAGGTGGAAATTTGTAAACCCTCTGGCTCTAGTAAGTAGTACAGCGTGCTTGTACAGTAGTACAGGGATACTGGACTGGGTGTAGGAATAACGTGGAGTCAAAACAGCCGCAGCTAACAAGACAGTTAGTTGGGAACGTATGGATTTGGTCCTAAAGAAGCTGTGAAGCGTTTTATATGCCTATGGTGGTATGTTATGGGGGTTGGGGTATGTATTTAATATCCAGACGCCGGGCTTCCAACCAACCAGTCAGACGTTTTGCTTAATTCTTCAATGCCAAGAATATCAAATACGTCTTCTGATGCTAAGTGATTCTCTTGGTTTTTTTTTTTTCTTCCCAAGCAAAATTCAAAGCCATAATCCTCCGTCGTCCAAGTTCTAATCTTCAACCAAAATATTTCCTTCAGATTTTTCTGTTACTACATCCCCCGTCCCGCGAGAGCTCTCGTGCTTCCTGGCTAACCTGCTTCATTTGTAGTTTTAGCTGCGGCTGCTGCTCCATAGCGATTACGAGAAAATACGTAATAGACCTTTGTTTTTATCGTCTGCCTGAATCATCCCTCGTTTCTCTACTGCATAGATTTAGATAAGGTAAAACTTGAAAAGCCCGAGAAACTTTTTCTCTCTTAAAACTTCTGCATAGTCTTTCTTCCTTTCTTTCTGTTGTCGGCTTCTCTTTTTTAGCCCAAAAAGGAGGTGCCTGTTCTTGAAATCTGGATTTGTCAAGGTATACTATAGATGCCATCTCTTTTCATGTGTGTGTGTGTGTGTCACTACATGTGTGAATGATTGCTAGTTTTGGTTTTGTCCTTGCCCATTGATTAAATTCTGGGGATATAATGCTGTTCCCTTTGGATGATATAACGTGAGAGATAAACAGTCCCTTTGGATGCTATAACATGAGACATAAACAGTCTCATGAGGCTCAGATGACCACGGCTACCTGGCTATTACCATTCTTCTTTGTTTCTTATCCTTTCTCTTGCAATTGGGTGCTCACTAACAAGAGCTATTGACTTCTTTTCTGTGAGTTATACAGGCATTTTTTCTTTTTCCATCTTGGAATCATTGATATTGGTTTCTATCTCTTATCTCTTTGTTCAGACGTTCATTTTCTTTCTGGAGATACAAATTCTCCCCTCGTGTAGGCAAGCGTAGTTTATGACTAGTCTTTGAACTTTGCATCTTTCGTCGTCTTTGATTGATATATTGATAATTGGCTGGCATTTCTGGGTGCAAATCTGCAAGTGTGGTGTGAACCTGGTGCTCCCTTTTGAATCTTTCTTTTTCCTTTTTCCCCCCTAATTTGTATGAAATGTTGATAAGTTGACAGTAATAAACTATTGTGCCCTACATTTGTTGATGCTTCTTGGAGGAATAAGACTCTTTTTAATTTAATTCAAATAAAACAGCTGACAAGTGTGGATTCAATGTCTTTTTCCCGATAGATGGAATGCAAGATGATTTTGGCCGGCACTTTCGGTAACATGAAGAATCTTAACGAATCAATGCAGTTCTTGGTAGAAGAAAACTGATGTCATTCATGTTCCTGGAGACTTTGACTCCCGCTTGTTACGTGTACTGAAGATGGAAATTAAAGAAACAGAGAAAGTGGCCATCGCAAAGCCTGTAGCATCAAGACCTACTTGTTCCGGTTTTAAATCCTTCTCTGAGCTTCTTGCCGGTGCCATCAACGCCTCACCCTCTAGCACATGTTCTGAAGCTGCGGTAACAGCCATTAGACCGAGGACGGTGAGGTTCAAGCCAGCAGTGGACCATCCTTCGGCTGGAGTGGCTGCTTCCCAGGTTATCAATTCTCCTCCCATTAATTTACTGCATTTTTTTCCCGCAAGACGTAGATATCTTACTGTTACATATCTTCTGATTCCAGGCTAATCTATGTGGGGCTGCTGTTTCTTCTCCCACTGCTAAGGACTTGAAAGCAGACGGGAAATGCAAAGTGGTGTACAAACCTATGGCCAAGCTCGTCTCCAAGACAACAGTTTCTCTCTTGGCAAATATGGTCAGTATTCAATATTCACACTATCGAAATTACAGAGCCCCCAACCTCCCCTCTCCCTGTCTGTGCATGTGTGAGGATCATGGCATAACTCCAAACTGCATCATAAATGTATTACAACTTTGTCATTTAGATCTAATCTATGTTAGCATTCTCCAAAAATCTATCTTGACAAGAATGGCCGGTGAAACTATTCTTTTAAATTCTTATCCATCTGTGGAGTCGGGACTTAGTTATATATTGGCGTCATGTACAGCGAAGTGCCAATTTATTTCAGGAACAGGAATTAGCTGAAGTTGAGGCAAATTTCCAACTACCAAACCTAGTCAAACCTCAATGTGACAATAGATCAGAGCCTCATCAGAATTTCCTATCCGCGGCACAAAAGAATAAAAGAGTTGAACCCTCGAATGTGACAACACAGAACCTGGAGGAGGATCAGAGATCGTTAGCGCACACGGCAAATGGGGATCGTCCTTCTTATGATGGATATAATTGGAGGAAGTACGGACAAAAGCAGGTTAAAGGAAGCGAATATCCAAGAAGTTATTACAAGTGCACACATCCAAATTGTCCTGTGAAAAAAAAGGTTGAGAGATCATTAGATGGTCAGATTGCAGAAATTGTCTACAAGGGTGAGCATAGTCATCCGAAGACGCAGCCTGTAAGACGTAACTCCTCCGATGGACATTGGCAAGGAACTTCCGGGAATGAATCAAACAATCCCCTATGCAGAAACCAACATAGTGACAAGAATGAATGTTATGAAGGCACCATGGAAAATCCAAATGAATTTGGTTTTTTAGCCCATTCAAGTTATTCGGGAGGAGCTCCATCATGCATGCACCCTACAAATGGAGACCTTGATAATTCATCTTGCCACAGCGGGGAGTTTGACGAAGGGAGGGAGGGACTGGAGGGAGAGACGGAGGGACCGAAAAGGAAAAGAAGGTAAGGGATATATACACTTCAAATAGCAAGCAGATCATACTGAATTGCTTGTTTTAACATGGATAGACTCTTCCTAGTTAGTCTGCTGATCTGTGCAGGGAACTTCTTTTCCGTTTCTCGTCTCACTTTCAAGCCTATTTGCTCTGCATGAGCATATGGGATGCCAGTGAATTTTCTCACGCGCTTTGACTTTTAAAATTCATGAAATAAATTTTATAAGAGTATGACTAGTCTCTTGATTTTCAGGAAAAACGACAACCAATCGAATGTAGCAGGCACAGCAGCTGAAGGAGCACAAGAGCCTCAGGTTCTTGGTCAAAACTCCACTGATTCTGAAATCATAAGAGATGGATTTCGCTGGAGAAAGTATGGGCAAAAAGTTGTGAAGGGAAATCCATATCCAAGGTTAATGCCAAGTCATGATATTCTGCACGCATTTTAAATTTCAAGAATTTACATATGACCGTATCTTTTACGTACAAGAATTACTCTGGGCATTGCAATGGTGCATACAAGGTAGGCATTTGTCATCTTTCCTGATACTTTTTTCGTGTCGTTTTATATTTGGAGGATGCAAATCCATGGCTATATCCTTGGTTTAAGGCTTAGTTGCTTCAAAGCAGTAACGGCACAAAATGAGGAGATAATATGCTATATAGTTATGATGATTTTAAAGCTCTCCTGTTTGCTTTATCGCTAATACTAGTGATAAAAGGCTTTTGGACGACACGTAGTGATGATTTTTTAGGGGAGCCTCTCCCCCTAAAGAGACTGTGTTTTTTGGGCTAGCAGGTACATAAATCTTACTAGACCAAGGGAGTGTTTTGGCATAACTCTTAAATTGTTTTTGTTACAGGTGGAATTTGAACCCCCACATACAGTTTAATGAGGGATTTAAGACCCTTCCTGGTAGCCACTGAGCCAAGCTCAGTGGTTAATGATGATGAAGTTATCTTTTATAAACAAGTAGGAGTAGCTAATATATTTTTGCTATTTCATACCTTTCATCCTATTGGTCAGGTTAGACCTTAATTTGTGTATATGTATCATATGTTTTACTTACAAATCTCTAAAGACAACTTTAAACGGTGTGCCTGCTGCAGGAGTTACTATAGATGTACCAGTCTCAAGTGCAATGTGCGCAAATATGTGGAGAGAACGTCGGATGATCCAAATGCCTTCATGACGACTTATGAAGGAAAGCACAACCATGAGATGCCGACAAAAAGCACAAGTTCTTTGGCGGCTAAAACTAGTACAAAGGCCTTAGGTACCAAAAAAATATATCTTGATTAGCTCATTGGGAGAGGGCTAAATTTCCAAGGCAATAGTTGGTACATGGAAGTGAGGAGGTCATAGGGCTCATAAGGGTCTTCAATTGGAGGTTTTGTGGCAGAATCAACTTAATAGTTGCTGCTTGTTGTGGGAAGACTTTAGTGTTTTATCTGCTTTAATTCGCGGTGAATCCAATGATAGATAAGTAGTGTCGGTATACCAGAATGGCAGGCTAAGCGAGAATATCTCCTTAGACAAACGAAATACCATGCCATCTCGCGTCATTTAGCAGTATTTGTGTCGGCTCCGGCGAGATCTGTGTTGCACTGTTTTCGAATAGTGTGAAGGAAAACACAGCGTGCTGCATAGTCTTCTGCATACACGAATTTGTAGTCTGTATTCGGTCAATTCCTGACAGTAGAAAGCTTATTTGGTATTGTCATCAAAATCAGCAGATGTAATCTTGATAATGATGTGCTTGCATGATGATTTCCAAGTTCTTGATTGGGTGAACCTACTAACTAATCAAGAGCTAGAACATGTTAGAATTTTGTGACTGTAGTTTTACCAGAGGATTCTGTCACCGCGTGAAGGACCTGTAGTAGCTAATTATTACCTCAAATCAAGGTTGCCTCTTCCGGCGCAACCTAATTATATGTCCAGAGTCCAGTCCCATGATTTTGTTCCCTTCCTACCCCGTAAAAAGCTTACAAATCAGGTTCATGTTCTCTTGAAAATTTAAAATTTGGAGACTAATTGACTTGCTAATTGTCATTGTTACTGGCTTAATTGCGTGATGATCTGAAAGTTCAGATTCGTTTATATTGCTTCCGGATCTTCTGGTAGTATATGTTTTTTTTTTGTCCGAAACAATAACTGTTATATAACCTATTCTATCTTATATTAAGGAAGAGGAGGACTTGAAAAGATCTAAAGATAATTCAGAAGAACTAAATCACCACCGAACCAAACGAGTGTACTATGCACTCGTCTAGATTTTTTTAAGTAGAACCATTTAATATGACAATTGATGGAAGGTAAAATTTGAACCTGATCGTCCGGCCCACCAAACTTTAATACTTTGGTGGTAGTTTGGGTTGGTGGTTGTACATGGAGGGGACTGTTGTATATGGTTGTTGGCATGTCATATTTAGGCATTACTGTAGCCTGTGTGTACGCGCGTTTATATATATATATATATGCCCGCGTGCGACGCTGATTATGATCGATTGCTTGAAATTCCTGTCAAAATATGGAACAGACAAGAAGGAAAAAACGAAAGACATTTTTGTGACCAGGGATCATCACGCAAAGACTTGTGATTTGAGATTGCAAAGGCAGTGGTTGCCACTTTTTGGCGTTGCCTGCCTGTCTTACATTTGAAAATATGCCTTCTTCGCAGGCCTTCCAATGATCGACCGTCTTAGTTTCATCATTTTGTTTTGGGATGATGATGATGTCACAGTACACAGTTTTGCGTCTTTGACTGTGAAGGCACGGTAATCAACACCTCAATCGTAAGCGTTGACTGATTCTCTGTCGGTGTCATGGGCGCTTGGCGTTTGTCGGGACCACCGTGTACAAGTAGGACTGGTAAGTTGTAGCAGGGGCAGGCGGTAATCAGGTCCAGTCGCGAGTTGACAGATTGGATCAAAAACAACACCCGCCAACCCGAACATGGCACGAAAAATTAAACCATCAAACTCGAATATGGCTCGCTAGCTTGGTGAGTTGCCTAAACTTGATTTGAATAATCTGTTTACTTCTTACATTTTATATATATATATATATAACCGTGGTGCGTAGCCAAAAAAATTAAAAGAAAATAAAGCAAGAGATGACAGCAAGAAAACATAACTCAATTGCTCAATTAATGTATTAAATTATAAAATTGCATGCTAAATGAGTCAAACGGGTTAATCTGTAGACTGTGATTGACTTTATTTGAACTTGTTTGCTTGACGGGTTATTTGGATTTAACTAACTTTTGATTCGAATCTATAAAAAATAAATTCATACTTGTTAATTACATATTAGGTTCAAATCATATTTTCGAATCATGCTGAAAATTGCTACCCTTCCAACAAGTTCAAATCTCCAATCCTCCGCTCACCATTCAGGTCAGCACCAACCAATTGTTCACCTGAATTATGAAGTTGTTGTTGTGACTTAAATCCCTAAATTCCACTTTAATCTCATAACAAGTTGTTCATCGATACTATTCCGTGATTTATCAAATGACTTCAATAAAAATTTGTCCATTGCTTGCGTCTGAAATATTCAAAATTGATTTGTGTTCTCTCTTATTTGCATTTTTTTAATGTCGTAAATTTTCGTGAATTAACAAGTAAGACCTTAAAAAAAAACCAAAAAAGAAGACAAGTAAGACAAACATATAAGTTACAAATTATCCTAAATTTGATTGCACCAATGGACCCTAAACTCAATGTAATGCTATACTGGTTAGTATGGGCCTTTGCAAAAAAAAAAAAGAATTAACAAGGCAGGTTTGGGATAGGGACCCTCGCTTTGTCACCTAAAAGCTCTTTTTATCCTCGCCTACCCTACTTTCACCCGTATCCCCTTCTCGCCCACCCTACCCCTCTACTATTTTGTTACGTGATTTTATTTTTATACATGTATAACACTAATAATAGATTTATTACTCATTTTTTTAAATCTTCAATAAAAAATTTAACATGAGATAAAGTTTAAAATTTATTTTGACCTTGTAAATCCATTTCTCTATATTTGTTATTATATAAGTTCTAAATTAATTATCATTACTTTTTTATAAACAATATGCCATAACAACAAAAGTAAACTAATAAAACAAAAAAAGTATATTATATTACATTATCATAAGAAAATATCATATTCTTCATTGCATGTTACATATATATAATTATATTATATATACAATATTAAATTAAGGCCTGGACAAAAGGGTTGGGAGTACAAATGATTGTCAGGTTAACCGTTTTTGCTAATTTTGTCCAATTCTACAAGATGTACATTTATTTTTTCAAGATGTAATTCACTTTGAATGCAAAAGTAAATACAAAACAAAATTTTATGGATCCAACATCCAATCAATGTATGTGTTGTGATCAATGGTCTAAATCTTACAAATTTTTTTTAATCAATCATGATCACGAAGCATTCTTTTTTTGTCAAAGCCAAGAAATGACTTTTGATAACTTTACAAACCTTAATCCAGCAGACTTATAAACCTACCCCAAATCCCCCCCAACCCCGATGTGGGATATCAACCTATACAGGGAACTTGCTACTAAGACCTAAAGAGACCCTTACCTCGGAAAGGCTGATGTCTTTTTTGTCAAAACCAAGAAATGACTTTTGATAATTTTACAAACCTTAATTCAGCAGGAAACCACAAAAGTTGGCAACTTTTATGATTCCTACAGGAGACTTATAAACCTACCCCAAATTTCCTCCAACCCTGATGCGAGATATCAACCTATGTAGGGAACTGCTACTAAGACCTAAAGAGATCCTAATTACCCCGAAAAAGCTGATGTCTTTTTTGTTAAAGCCAAGAAATGACGAAGCATTCAAGGACGATCATTTTGATAACCGTTGCTGCCCCAGTTCCCCCTTTGCTGTCCCCTGAAACACCTTATATGACTTTTAGATTTGACTACGTCATCCCAAACAGTACATAGTAGTTGTGGTAATAACTGAGCTCCAAGAAACGCTAAGCCAAACAAATAAATATGCAATATTTAATTTCAACCACTTTGAATAAACCAACACTACAATTTAACGCTGCGTACAATTTTTTGGCCTGTACTCTGTCGTACTTGAATTGGTAACACTATGAGACTCTGCCCCCGTGGCCCATTCATCTTTGCATTGCCGTATCATCTCAATTCCAAGACATCGAGTCTCATTCTTTTTTTTTTTTTTTTTGTTAATCGTTACCCTACTTCTACTCTTACTCTATTCTAATTTAACTATGGGAGAGATTTAACTGGACTTATGGGGGATCGATGGAGACAGAACGACCACTAGATCAGACGAATACACCACGTACCTGCCTGAATTTTTTTTTGAAGAACCACAATATCTTTCATTTAGTATTAAAAAAAAAAAAAAAGGAAGACAGAGAGTCTTTCCTGCCTCCACCATTTCTTTTCCGTTTCATTCGTTTTATTAGTCGTTAGAGACGTCGACACATTTCTTTCCTTCTCTAAGGTAAAACTAAACAAAAGACGCACCACTCCATTCCTTCGATTCTTTCGCACTTTTGCTGCCATCCTGTGCATAATAATTTATGCAACTCTTTTGAATTGTTCGGGAAAGGAGTCCGGATCAAGAGAAAAAACTCTGAGAAAAACTTTTGATGGGTTGGTTTCCATGCTCTGGACAATCTCATTCCAAGCTTTCATCAAAGAAGAAGAGGAAGATTAAGGACCCACTTCATCCTATTCAGCCTTCTCCAGGTATCTCACTCTTTGTGGCATATGTATGGTATGTTCAATTAAAGTTTTTATCTTTATTCCGTAGATGATATTTTCGTTGTCGCCCATTAATTTCAGACAGTTCTTGAACAAGATTCTCAATTGGCTTATACCAAAAGGAACTGTCTGATTGTTGAGTCTGTCCAGCAGTTTGTTGAGGGGTTTTTTATGGCTTTTCTAACAGTAGTTTTCATTTTCTCCTGGAATATTTGTTGAGCACTATTTGTTGACTTTTTCTCCACCCTGTCGGCCTGTTGGGTGGGGGTGCTTGCTTAAGGGTTTTCTTTTGCACCTATACGTCTTTTAATTGGACTGAAAGCATTTATGTTCAGTAATGTCGTATCTGGACCTTCTGGCGGATCAGGTCCGTTTAAGTTTAAACTGAGTTGCTAAGTGCATATGGTGTCACTAATCTGGAAAAAAAGGTTGAAGAAGAAGAAGAGTGAGTCTTGAATGAGCTTGGGTACTTGCTGTCTTACGGTTGTTCTTTACTTCAAGTAATAGTTCAAAGGGGTTTGAATCTTCTTACTAGTTACCAGCTATGTACTTTGACTTTTTAACCTGGTGTATAATCATATACCAATGATATTGTTACTGCAGTTTGGAACTTGCAAATGTGATACCTCATCAAAATTGCTTTAGGTGCAGATGACTCAAAAATTTCAGAAACACCACATTGATGCCTATTGTCAACTTAGTCCCGTCTCACCATTATCTTGGGAGTTGGGATGGGTAAACCTTCGAGAAGTCATACCAAAGTCAGCTCTAGTTTTTACCATGTCAAACAAACTTTAAGAGAGAAATGACACATTAATGTGTATCCTTCCCAAATATGCTATAAAAATTAAAAAGTGGTTTTTGGAAGGTTAGCGTGGTCTAGTGGTTACTTGGCCATTTCTGTCCTCCTAATTTTCTGCTTTTCTGTCTTCAGAGAAGTCGAAGGTAAATGCACCATTAAACTCGCAGGTAAACAGCAAGGATGGAGGGTCCAACCAAATTGCAGCCAAGACTTTTGCATTTCGTGAATTGGCTGCTGCAACTAGAAATTTTCGGGCAGATTGTCTTCTTGGAGAAGGAGGATTTGGTAGAGTATACAAAGGGCGACTTGAGAACTCCAACCAGGTATGTGGGGCTCTCTATTCTTTGTGAATACATAATGAGGAAAAAGTAAGCAT